TTTGTCAGTTAATAACCAACAAGCCGTTTGCTTGTGTATAAATTTAGTCTTGTTATTTATTTGCACTTGAAAATAGGAGTTTTTCATTGCTGGATTGATCGGTAAAGTGTCAAAAGACCGAAAGTCAAAACGTCGAATGGCAAAATATCGAAGAAAAAACGTCGAAAAAAAACATCGAAGAGTCAAAATGTCGAAAGGGTAAAACGTCGAAAATCCAAAAATGTCGAAAATAAAATGTCGAATGTACAAAATGTCGAAATGTAAAAATGTCGAAAAGAAAATGTCGAAAAGCAAAAGATCGAAAATGTTGAATATGAATGAGAGTACTACGAAATTTTCTAATAGTGCATTGTCTATTATTTTACGTCTGTTAAATAGAAGAAGATATAGATTTTGCATTCTTGTTGAACACAAGAGGAAGCAAAACAGATGAAAAAAATTTGTTATATTATAATTCAAATACACAAGAAAAAACAGTAAAAGTGCAGATACAATGAAGAATTTAATTTTTACTTTTCACATTTTTTGCAACAAAGAAAGACAAATATAAACCTTGTAAATATTCTTGAACATCAATTTCTTGATTGCCGAATCAACTTGTAAGTGCATTAAGCCTGTCTTGCATCGCGCACACTTTTTTCGACCTATTTTTATTTTTTCCACTCTTCATTATGTATTACAACACGATAAATGATTAAATGTCCACATACATCGTTAGAAAGAGATATATATGGATGGATAATAAGAAAAAAATAGATAATGAGCGAAAAAAAAAGACGCTAGTTGAGGCCGCGACGAAAGCAAGAAAAAATTTACATAAATGCATATGCCCTTATGGCGAAATTTATCAACAATAATGTAAGAGTGCAAGTATGGTATGTGTATGAATCTTTTTTTCTTTGGTACTGATTAGAAAATTTTCGACATTTTGTACTTTCGAGATTTTTCTCTTCGACTTTTTTCACTTTCGATATTTTGCCTTTTCGACATTTAGTTTTCGACGTTTTTCCTTCGATATTATGCCATTCGACTTTTTTCTTTTCGATATTTTGCCTCTTCGATGTTTTGCCTCTTCGATATTTTAACTTTCGACGTTTTGACTTTCGATCTTTTGACACCTATTCGATTGATCGAATCAAATATACGCATACCAGTAAAATTTATTTTCTCAGTTGTAATTTCATCAACACTTTGTGTCGTTGCCGCATCTTTATCTTCTTCATCTACATTGATTAGATCACTATTAAATTCATTACTTTCCATTGTTTCATCATCATAATCAGATTCAGAATCTGATGAAGAATCTGCATCCGTTGCCGAATAAGTATCCGAATTAATGTTGAATCTAATACTATCAAATATATTTTTACTTAAACCATTAAGTTCACAAGCATTGCATTTCTTTAATGAAGGTAATATATTCAAATTACTAACTAGTTCTTTTGCACGATTAAATGCAGCTAAAATAATATTTTCACTATTATTTAATCCTCGTTGCTAAGGGCTGTAATTTGGGGGGGGGGTATGTCTGTAATGTTCTCTTTCTCCGTTGCTAAGTGTCTATAATGGGATGGGGGGAGAGAGAGCCATCAAACCTCGAACTGAAAACGTACACTCACTATTTTCTTCGAAAATATACGTGAGTTCCACAAAACAGACTTTTGGGAGCAATCAATTTTCAATATCATTCCTGTTCGTGGTTCTCGGAAGACACTAGTTACTCTGTTATGAATAAGGGTGTCAATTTATATTTACTTTCCATATAATTTACGCGTAAATTAAATGATAAATAATTTATATTTATTATAAAGTAAACGGTAAATGACACCCCTACTATTTGATAAGTTTTGTTTTTTTGCATGTTATAGAGGTTTCATGTAATTTCTATAAGATTTTTTGATACGCATGGAATCTGCCTCTTGAAGTCCTATGAAGTCTTGTGAAGTTTTGTGAAGTCTTGTGAAGTCTTGTGAAGTCTTGTGAAGTTTTGTGAAGTCTTGTGAAGTCTTGTGAAGTCTTGTGAAGTTTTGTGAAGTCTTGTGAAGTCTTATGAAGTCTGATGAAGTCTTATAAAGTCTCAAGAAGTCCTACAAAGTCTCTGAAGTCTCATGAAATCCGTGAAGTCTCATGAAGTCCCTGAAGTCTCACGAAGTCTGTGAAGTCTAACGAAGTCTTTGAAAGTTTTTTTAAGTCCCCTGAAGTCCCATGAAGTCATACGAGGTCTTATGAAGTCTTGCGAAGTCACTTGAAGTCCTATGAAGTCTTCAGAAATCTTTAGAAGTCTTTCGAAGTCTTGTGAAAAGATGAAGTCACAGCGGGTGAAGTCTGTTGAAGTCTTTTGAAGTCTTGAAGTCCGCTGTTTCCCCCTTGGAAAAAAGTGACTCTGATGGAATGGAATAATCAATTTTTCAATTCGTTTCTGCCTTTCGTATACATTCAAAAGTTCAAGTAGTGTTCGAAACAAAATTTCATTGTATCCTCACGTAGGGCTCAATATAATGGAAGACTACGAGGACTTACTTTTTCGGGGTTTATTTGGACTTTTAATAAAACTCGGGTTGTTTTCTTATACCTTATTTTATAATACTATCATGTCTTATATAGGATTTATCCAAATAAATCTCAACATAAATAAATTTATCGTTCGATTAATTCTTTTCCAGCGACTTAATTTCAAAGACATTATTTTATTGCAAAGGTTGTCATAAAAATTCCATAAAATTAAATAATTTCTCAGCGGTTCATATTTTTCCAATCGGATGTATTTGAGATACATATATCTATACCGGTATTCAAATGCA